AATTAATCAAAAATTAATTTTCAGTTGCAATTTATCAAATTATTGGTCACAAATTTGTTCTCAGACGCAAATAAATTTTTTTATAAGTCACAGATTACTTTTCGAACACAAATCAAAATTTCATAGATCACATATTATTCATCGATCACTAATCGAAAATTTTATTAGTCACAACTTATTTATTAATTGCAAATCGATCACAATTTACTTAATTATTGGTCACGACTTGTTTTTTGGTCACAAATCAAGAATTTTATAGGTCGCGGGTTATTTCTCGAACACGAATAAAAAATGTTATAAGTCAAATTATTCATCGATTACAAAATCAATTTTTTTATTGGTTACAACTTAATAACTTGTGAGTCACAATCACAATTTTTAGATCACATATTATTTATTTGTCAAAAATTAACCAATTATTAGTTACAATCAACCAAATTATTGGTCACAGACACCCACCTCCATAGCACAACCACCAAATCAAGATGTAGAGCACACCATCGCCACTGTTAAATCCATCACCACCAGCACGATCCACCACCACCACTAAAACCACCCAAACATCACATCCACCGCACTACACAGCACCACACCACTCACCCGATTGCCGCACTGCACCGCACACCTCCACGACCGAACCGTCAATCACCACCACTTAAAACTAAAAAAAAAGGAATAAGGATGAATCTGCACCGTGCGGCGATGAGCGAAGTGGATTTGCATCAACGCGATGAGCGCAGCGACGTCGTCGGCAGAGATGGGTGGCGTCATCGGTGAAAGTTGGTAGAGAGAGGGAAGAGAGAAGGCGAAGAAGACGAGTGAGAGAAGATGGAGAGAGAAAGAAAATGGAAATGGTTTCTAGGGTTTGTGATAAAATTGATTAGGGTTTGAGATGAAAATTGTATAATTAATATTTAAAATTTAAAAATGAAATATCTGATTTTTGAAAAGTGAAACTTCCTACTTGATTTTTGAAAATTGTTCTTGAGAGGTAGGGTTTTGTGCAATTTCCACTTCCACCGAACATTACCCAAGCCTGGCCCAATTGTGTGGCCCAACGTGGCCGATAGCCCACCCAGTTGCAGCTCTCTCAGAAAGCCCTAATATTTTAGGAGATCTCCTCCTTACCAACCTTTATCCAGCCGTGACTCTGTAGAGAGACACAGCGAGACACCCAAAAACCCTAGCATCGGAATTTCTCCAACCAAGCCGCCAAAATGCAGATATTCGTGAAAACCCTCACGGGGAAAACCATAACCCTGGAGGTGGAATCCTCCGATACCATTGACAATGTCAAGGCTAAGATCCAGGATAAGGAGGGCATCCCACCGGACCAGCAGCGTCTAATATTCGCCGGAAAACAGCTTGAAGACGGTCGTACACTCGCCGACTATAATATCCAGAAGGAGTCCACTCTCCACCTCGTCCTCCGCCTCCGCGGTGGCGCTAAGAAGCGCAAGAAGAAGACCTACACTAAGCCGAAGAAGATTAAGCACAAGAAGAAGAAGGTCAAGCTCGCCGTACTTCAGTTCTACAAGGTCGAGGATTCTGGCAAGGTACAGAGACTGCGTAAGGAGTGCCCCAATGCTGAATGTGGCGCCGGAACTTTTATGGCTAACCATTTTGATCGTCACTATTGCGGTAAGTGTGGCCTCACCTATGTCTACAATAAGGTTGGCGGCGACTGAGTATGAATGTTAGTCGAGGGATTCATATTACTTTTTTTTTCTGTTTTAATCGTCTTTTGTGAATGATTATTATGATTTAGGGTTTTGGAATTTGATTTCAGATGAATTTTGGTTAAGAAAGTACTTGGAATTTTGTTTAATCTAATTTACAGTTACTGCTGCTATTAGATTATACTTATGTTTTATCAGTTGATGGATTTCTGAAGGCGTCTTAGATAATATTATTTGTCAAGAAGTATACCATGTTACTGCCTTCACACTCTAATTGATTCGCAGAGAGGAAAACTTAAGCGCAATATTGCAGTTGTTTTTAGTTATGAGCTTCTTCGCCTTATAATGCTTTGCATTTATTTATGCTTGTCATTATCTTTATAATTTTTGAGTTCTAAAGAGAACCAAAATTTTGAATCGATCTTATTCCATCATATTTGGTCTCTTCTCTTTAGTTTTTCTACGAGTCTAGAGTGTAGTTATTGATATAGCGCAATTGAAGTCCTTTCGTGATCATTTGTTGTGGCAATTACTGCATACTAGTTACCATTTTCAGAAACTTTTAATAGAGACCGTTGTATAAATTAGCATTCTTGGTATCTTTGCTAAGATAACATGAGATCAATTAAGTGACCGAGGCAAGTTGTCTAGTTAATGGGTTCAGAGACCTGGCTGCTAGCGCAGTCGGTCGGTTACTTCAATTAGTTGAAACGTTTGATCAAATATCACGCTTGAGCTAGTTTCAGTGTTTTGTAGAGACCTGCTACAAAATTCTACAGCATATTAGGGAGCCAGATAGGTTAAAGAGAAGTCGCACACTCGCACTCGAGCTTTAACATTGCGTCCAACTAGTTAATTGCTAAGTACATCTGTAATTATGCCTCTCTTTGATTAATGGGTAGGATGTTATATCTCGTTGGGTGAACAGTGGATTCCATCTCTTAGATGCCATCTTTCAATCTATATTAGATATAATTCTTGTTTCGTAAGAGACCCATTAAAAGGTCTTTCTAGATGTAAAGCTCAAACTTGCACAAAAATATTTTCCTTTGACAGATCTTGTACTTGTTTTTAATGGGAACAAGGGCTAGAGGTAAATATTGAGGGTTAATCCATTGGCATTCAGGATCATGCTACCCTACCCTGCTGCAGACCCGTGTGGTGAGGTGAGGTGGTGGTGGTGGTGTGGTGAGGTGGGGAGATTGAGGGAAATAGATTCTTACAAGGCAGTTGATTGAAGTGTCAAGGAGAAGAAGCACAGCATTTAGAGTATGCATACCACCCATCAACTGTAACATATAGCGGATGTTAGCACCTTAAGAGCATCTCTCTCTCTATTTTAAGAGCATATTTTATCATTTGGAGAGTATCTATAAATTTAGATAATTAAAATTTTAAAGTACTTCAACAAACTCTTTATATTTAACATTTAATTTTACTACTACAAAAAAATATTTATTATTTTTGTT